AACTTCCCATCTTCTGTGCTTTTCTAATTATTAATTTGAGCGCCAAAACTTCCGCGTGACTGCAAGGCGAGCACGGACACTGGACTTGAATTTGCGAGACCGCATGCTGTTTGGAAGTCCCTCTTAAAATTTCAGCTTTCTAGCTTCTTTAGCTCCCTAGTTGAAATCCTTGGATAAAAAGCGGTCGGAACAGGCGCACCCACAGAGTTTCGACTTATGTGTTTTGTGCAACTGCTGCAGTACAGAACGCATAATATCAACAAGTAAAACCAAATGATAGCAAGTAACAAGTTTCCCATGATAACAGTTAAAAGCAACTGCATTGGTTTTGTTCATAAACGAATTTTCAGACTGAAATAATAATTTATCATGGTTATCCAGTACAGGTATTTGAAGCGCTAACTATCGATGGTTACATCTTGCAACTTCATCGCATACCATTTGGCAGAAACGGTACCTTTATACTTAGAAACCCTGAAAACTTTTTTTTTTTTTTGAAAAAGTATTGTCCGAAAAATCTGAAGATGTTTCAGACAGCTTGGATTATGTATTCAGGAGAAAGCGCCCGGTGGTGTTTTTGCAGCATGGTCTTCTTGGTTCCAGCGCAGACTGGGTCACAAATCTTCCTAATGAGTCACTTGGTAAATATTTCAGTGTTTGTTGCGAGAATTGCTGTGTTATTCTAGAAGAAATAACGCAGTTACTGTGAGTAATAATAAAAGTACAAGTAATAAAATGACAAAATAATAAGTGGTAGAACTGTTATAAATAATAAATAAATACTTTGACGAAATTTTTTTTTGAAAGAGAGAAGACAAACAAGACAAACAAAAAGACAGACTCTTCTGGGCATGGCTTGTATGTAACATTTTTAACAGTGTATTGAAAAAAAAAAAGTGCACTAGCGAACACCATGAAGAGTTAACTGAAGTCAAAAGCTTTTCGTGTTCGCTCTGCATGAGAGGAGGAATCATTCGGAAGCAGGTTACTTTTTTAGAGGATTGCATAGAAGGCTATTTTCTTCGAGAATTTCTTAAAAACTCTTTGGTATGTGTCAGTATCACCTTGCCATCGATACGAATGAATTGTTTGTAGAGGGAACGTCGCCACATCTAGCTCGCTAAATCCTCAACTTGCAGCACAAGAACAAAGCTAGAAGCATATAAGCACAAAAAAAAATTAGGATATTACCTTCTGAAAAAACAAAACCTAAGTGGGAGGGAATACCACCACACCGCCCTCTTCTTTTCAGGAGCATGCACTTCCTGAAAAGGAAAGATCTTG